CATTATCAATTGTTTCAGTTGTGTTTCTAATGAAATCGTCTTCCCTCGAGTCGCCCTCCTTTGCCTTGAATGAGCCGTTGTTGATGATATTTGACGACTTTCTTACGGCTGAGGAATGCGATAGGATTGTGAAACTGTCCCTTAAACAGTCTGAAGGTAGTAGTATGGGGTTATCTATGGATGTCAATGATAATAAGTATAAGTAATAATAATAATAATAAGACGATTTGTATTCTCTTGATTAATAGTGGAGTTTCACCCGTGATGTGAATTGCTTACAAGTGGAAAACCTATTTTATATTTCACTGCATATCACCGCGAATATCGGGTTTACACAGAGTATTACACCACTTCACGCAAAACGGGTTGTGAAACTCTAATGAAAGTAGTGGAAAGTTATCAAGTGAACTGTCATGTATTAGTAATTGGAGTTTCACCCGTGATATGAAAAATACCAGTGAAGAATACAGTATACTTAAAATTTAACTTCGCGAAAAACACATGTAAACAGTGAATAACGCGTATAACACTGATGATGTGAGGTGATTTGTCTGGTGTAACTCGCGATGTGTTTCCAATCACTTAATATTTCTCGTTTTTCATATGGGGTATTGCGCCACTTCGCGTAAAACTGGTGAAACTCCATCGCTTTCAAAGAGCGCTTTTGAAAGAGAGTATAGTTTTGAACGGTTTTGATGCGACGTTGTTGTTGGCGTAGTATTTCTGCGAAGGTACTGTGTTTACGAATAAGTTGAGAATTGCATTACCAGCTAAAGAAAGTGAGAAAATAGTATCGGAGGATGCGGAGTTTCTTGGGAAGGTGATTTAGGGAGAAGGGCGGTTTCTGAGCATATGTTGAATATAAATTTCATAGTGTATAGTGGGGCTTCGCCCGTGATATGAAAAACATTGGTGAAAAATATATTCCATGATTACTGCTTATCGCGAATATCGCGTTTTTCGGGGAGTATTACGCCACTCAACGTAAACCGGGAAACAGATGTATAATGGTGAATGCTGTGTTAAAACGTTACGTCAACCTGTTGCGATAATCGTTTGTGATTTTTTAGCTCGAGGAGCGTATAGGGGAGGTATGTCAATGTCCTCCTCACGATGGTGAAGTCCCTTTAGTAGCGATGTTAACTCCACCGAGCAAACGGCCTTCGGATGGGGTCGAAAAACGACTTCATTTGGGACTACATGTTGGTAATAATTTCGTGGCGCGCGGTCAAATTTTTTGGTTTTTTCCCACGAGATTTTTTTTGGGTAGATACCAATGGTAATCGTCCTTTCCGTTTTTGCACTGCTATCATTTACCTTTCGGATGTCGAGGAAGGTGGCGAAACTGTTTTCCCGGTAAATTCCGTTTTTTTCGACTTTAACGGAAATATTCATCATTTATTCGGAAACTTTTTAATGTGGTTTTCCTTTTCGCTGAAATTTTCGCGTCATTTTATAGCAGTTGAACAGTTTCTCTAGGTTGAATCATAATGAGTATCTTTTTCGTCAGGATTAGTTCCACTTTAGCGAAAATATTCGTGAGTTTTTACGGAAATTTTCATCATTTTCCGTAGGAATTTCTATCAATTTTCCTTTTTTTCGCAGAAATTTTTGCTCAGGTAAAATCTACCAGTCCCGAGTTGGTGATGGGAGCGCAGATGCTCCTCAAAAGTGGAATCGATCATCTTGATAAAGTTGACAATCAATCTCCTGAAGGAATCCGAGTCGTCGCTGGTATCTTGCGATTACGCACTGTGAAGATTTTTCCACAGTGTGGTGAGGTTTTAGATATGCTGCAAACCGCAACTACAGCAGCTGATACGTTTACGGTTGAAGCTAAGAAAGGGAGATTGGCATTGTTTTATACTAGAGGAGAACATGGGCAAATCGACCCTCTCAGCTGGCATGGCGGAGCTGCTGTAATAAGAGGTTAATAAGTATTTTTTTCTGAAAATATGGGAGATTTTTGGTATTATTATAGGAGTAGTGTGGTTACGTGCATCTATAGGTTAGTGTTGGAGTAGGAATATATGTTCGCTTTCCTCAACTGAGCTCAGGAGTTTCCTATACAGTGTTGGAGTAGGAATATATGTTCGCTTTCCTCAGCTGAGCTCAGGAGTTTCCTATACAGTGTTGAAGTAGGAATATATGTTCGCTTTCCTCGGCTGAGCTCAGGAGTTTCCTATACAGTGTTGGAGTAGGAATACATGTTCGCTTTCCTCACCTGAGCTCAGGAGTTTCCTATACAGTGTTGGAGTAGGAATATATGTTCGCTTTCCTCACCTGAGCTCAGGAGTTTTCTCACTGATTACAGAATTCGAGTAGAAGTGTACAAAAACCTATGAGAATTTCCTCAGAGTTTTCATATTATCACCGAGCCTACCATGTGCATATTTTCCCCCCACACTGGCGTTTATGGACTGAAGTAGATCGGACCGCGAGTAACATCGTTGTTCCGAGATCTTGTATTACGTGTTAAAGGGGTTGTTGATGATAAATTGTAGCGAGCTGATAACGTAATGAAATATTCCATGTAATTTTGTGAGATGTTGTAGAACTAATTGATAGTAACGATATATTGGAGTTTCACGAGCCGTGATATGAAAAACACTAGCAGAAACATATTTCATGACTACTGCATATCACCGCGAATATCTAATTTTTTTCATAGAGTATTACTTCATTATTGAAACACGGCTTAGTTGTTGTGACTTGTAGGTACATTGTAGTAGTGGGGGCAAGCCTACGATGAAGTGGACCTTACAAAAGTTCAAAGAGATTCCGATGGAGGAGAGGGAGAACGGGGAGCGTATACGTCAATGGGTGCATGATAATAGGAATTCGGTTAAAGTGGCTCATGGGGTAATAAGGAACGTATTTTTTCTTGGGAAAATTTGGAAAAAAATCAAAAAAAATTTTTTGAAAAAGTTATTTTGAATATTGGAAAGTGTTGTGACTCGGCTTTTGGTAGTGTGAGGTTAACGGTGGTTGATGAGATGTGGATGACTAGCATGAGTGAATAATAAACAATTATTGTGTTATCCATAGAGAATCGAAAGAATTGGGGACAGAAATTGTGCAATTCTCTCGCGTATGGCTACACGTTGCTTCTCAAGATTAAACTGAACGAGTTTTTCGGTTGCAATATTATGAGGAAGGAGAACTATGCGAGAAACGCATAGTTTTCGCGAGAAACCTATAGTTTAGTAACGCGAGAAAACGAAAAATGTTGATGTTGTGGTTGAAATGAAAAAAACGATTCTGCTTTTTTTATGAAGCACATAAACTGCTCGTTGGAAATTATTGAGTGCTTGTTTTGGTGAGTCTTTTAAAAATATTCGAAAAAAAATTAATAAGAAATATTGTATACCATTGTGGAGTTTCATTCGTGATATGACAAACACTGGTGAAAAATATATTCCACGACTACTGCATATCACCGCGAATATCGCGTTTTTCATAGAGTATTACGACTACTTCGCGTAAAACAGGTGAAACTCCATTATTACGAAAATATTCCGAAAAATGTACTCGGAAAATATTAAGATTATATGGCTTATGTATAGGTACATTGATCGAGACGAAGCTTTGGGGTATTATGTTTAGTTCGATTCACTTTACTTCAAAAAATGAGGTTTCACACATTGTAATTGGTTTGTTGTTTTGGGAGAATTTTCGCGCAGCGCGAAGATTTTTGTTAATTTACTAGGCTAATAAATAGAGTACGGGAGGTGGTACTTAGTTGTATGAATCAATGGAGTTTCACAACCCGTTTTACGTGAAGTGGCGTACTTTTCTGTGAAAAACGCGATATTCGCGGTGATATGCAGTAGTCGTGGAGTATATTTTCCATATCACGGCTCGTGAAACTGTATTAACGTCAACACGTGAGGACGGTGTTTCAAATCCATAGATATCATTTTGGAAACGCCTGGTTTCGAGCACAGCGGAGCGAAGTATTTCGCGGTGTGATCGCCTTGGGGTTTCTTCAGTCGCGGGAAGTATTGGAATATATGTTTGCTTTCCTCAGCTGAGCTCAGGAGTTTCTAGAGTTAATTATAAAATTCGGGTAGAAGTGTGATACAGAAAGTAAGAAAATTTTTCACATATTGTCACCAACACATGTAGTTGACCATATGCATATATTCTCCAACAGGTCGCAGGTTACCCGGTTGGAAACTCGTAGCAACGAGTCTTGCTTCATGGGCACCAAGAGTAGTTGTAGTTGTCCTATATTATATCAAGTCTATGGGTAGTGGAGTTGACATTACGTCGTGAACCCGTAGGAGTTTTTTTCCCGAATTGTTTGTCTCGACTGAATTTTCGTTCTCCTTCTCTCGGATTGTGCTCGGCGCGGTAGTTGTGGTTAATCTGGGAGTAGCCTTGCGCGATGGAGGAAAAGTGGTAGTGAACAGCACAGGTGAGAAACGCATGTGATGGAAACGATAGCATGAGGAAAAGCTCAGGTCAGGAGTTTATCACAAGGGATAACGACGGAGTTATAGTGACGCTGAACTCTGGCGATGATGACAAGGTGAATCCAGCCACTCTATGTGGAGTATAATGGAGTTTCACCACCCGTGATATGGAAAACATATTTTAAAATTCACTCGGTGGAAAGCAATTGTGTTATCGTCGCGAAGACATACACGTGTTAAATTTTCACGGTGCATTACGCCACTCTACGTAAAACGGGAGAAACTCCAATGTACTCTAAAAATATAATGGAGTTTCACGAGCCGTGATGTGAAGAACACTAGTGAAAAACACATTTCACTTCGACTACTGCATATCACCGCGAATGTCGCGTTTTCGACGAGTTTTACGCCATTTCATGTAAATCGGGTTGTGAAACTCCTATGTATAGTGTGCGCTAACTATGGTGATATATAAACAGTATAATGGTTTCTAACAGGAGTATAGTTGTAAATTATGACGGAGTCACAGTGACGTTCTCTTTCGACGACAAGGCAAGAAGTATAATCTCATATGCGTACAGTCGTTGACGCAGAAACTCGAGAGTATGAGTTCGTATATTGGAGTTTCACCCGTTCTACGTGAAGTGGCGTAATACTCGGTGAAAAACGCGATATTCGCGGTGATATGCAGTAGTCGTGAAATATGTTTTTCATATTACGAGTGAAACTCCAACGTTTTTCCGGTTTATTTGGAAGTTTCGGAGTTATGTTCATACCATGGACGTGTGCAATGATTTTGACTTCTCCATTTTGGAAGGTATGCATTTTAGGTTTCAACTGGGGACAGTAAGGAGAGTGTGAAGATTAACAAAGGGGATACAGTGACGATACGAGTGCACCAAGGTGAGATGTTGTCAACCTATCGTGCTATCGAGTGCGAGCCTGCATCCAGTGTTGGAATATATGTTTGCTCTCCTCAGCTGAGCTTGGTAGTTCATTTGTTAATTATGGAAGCTCACATACGACTTGGGGTGAAGTGCACAGAAACCGGCAAGAATTTCTCAAAATTTCCTCAGATTTTCTATATTCCCATCACTGGAGTTTCACCCTAGTGTTATGAAAAACACTAGTGAGAAACATATTCCACGACTACTGCATATCACCGCGAATATCGCGTTTTCACGGAGTTTTACACCAGTTCACGTAAAACGGTGAAAACTCCCAATGCCCTTAGTTGATCATGTGCATATTTTCCCATACGGGTCTCCGGTGTTGGAATTTATGTTTGCTCTCCTCAGCAAAGCTCGGGAGTTTCCTCAATATATTATGAAAATTAACACACTACTTGGTGAAGAATTTTCCGAAATTTCCTGAGAAGTTTTCTATTGTGATCAACACTCGTAGTTGATCATGTCCATTTTCCACATGTTGATTTCCAACGCGCAAGTATACAAAAACCAACCATAATTTTCGGAAATTTTATTGTCATCAGCACACGTAGTTGACCATTTTCATATTTTTCCCCACGCTGATTGTCTCAGAGTCCGCTCCTGACGGCTCGGAAAAGAACTCCATCGTTGACGTTACTGTGAATACCAACAACGACGTACGGCCATCATCGCGACTGGAGATGTGGGAATCTTTTCGCCTCAGGAGAATAGTGAAATCCCGCCTGCATCTGCGTGGTGGCGAGCTGAGCCACATGGCGTTCGATCAAGAAAAGACTTGCCGCGACAGTGGAGTGTGAGGGCCTTGATGATAGCGCTAGCCGTCTTGTTCGTCTGGGGTGAGCTGCTGCATGTGATGGAAGTGTATTGTTGTTCATCAGGTGTTGCATCGGCGGTTTGGTTACTGTGTCAGTGGTTGAAGGCGTGTACGACGCCACAGAAGAGGGTGTCGAGACGTAGTCGACGTCATCATCACAGTACGCACTAGGGGGACGCTTATTCTATCATCGTCGTTGATAGAGTTGTTGTTGTGATTTGTTGTATATGTGTTTTTGTGATGAAACTCCTGAGCTCAGCTGAGGGAAGCGAACATATATTCCTACTCCAACACTGCATAGGAATTTCCTGAGCTCAGCTGAGGAAAGCGAACATATATTCCTACTCCAACACTGTATAGGAAACTCTTGAGCTCAGCTGAGGAAAGCGAACATATATTCCTACTCCAACACTGTATAGGAAACTCCTGAGCTCAGGTGAGGAAAGCGAACATATATTCCTACTCCAACACTGTATAGGAAACTCTTGAGCTCAGCTGAGGAAAGCGAACATATATTCCTACTCCAACACTGGGAAAATCTTTCTTCGAGGTTTGCTGTCGATTATCTCGGTTTAGATATTTCAACAGCGACACCACCAACGACCGAGACTGCCGATACTCCGAGTTGAATGATAGTCCATGATAGTGCTCATTGTTGTCGAGTTGCAACGTTTAGTGTTTCGTGACAGTATTAATTTGATAGAAAGGAATGACACTTTCAGGGTAACCGTAGAGACACTTTTTGCCCGGCTGAGCTGAGCAGCTCCGTGATGTCGACATGACAGAGGAAATAGCGATCGCTCGCGTTTTCCAACATTTACATGTCGAGGTTGTTCATTCAAATTGATTCATTCAATTGAGGATTGAATGATTTAAAAGCAGTAGAGGACTGAGACAGAACATGTATGGGAGAGTACAGCAGATACCGTTACGAACGAACTGTATATTCACGGGTCTCAGGGCCGATGACGGTCAATCCTTGATAGAATAGAAAGAGCGCGAGGGATGGTATGAAGTCGTGTAAACCGTTACACGTTCTTGAGCCCGATTTAGTGCACCACCACCTTCTCACGTTGGAAGCTCAGGGGTGTTCAATCCGTCATTTCACTCACATCGAAATCTACAGTTAGAGCATAGCATAAGGTGCGCTAGTTGTTGTTGATACAAGAAGTGTTATGAATTCAGATTCAGGGTTGGGGAATATGTTTGCTTTCCTCAGCTGAGCTCAGGAGTTTCCTCATTGATTAGAGAATTTGGGTAGAAGTGTACAGAAACCAATAAGAATTATCCAAAGTTTTCTCAGAATTTTTAACACCGTCATCAACGCGTGCAGTTGACCATGTGCGTATTTTCTCACCCTGATTATATTCCACTTATTTCTTACGAGGTTGGTTCATCAATACTCACGACACGAACACTGAGTGTGTTGAAATGCAGTCCTGTGTTTATGACGAATTCCGACGATATAAATTTCCAAGCAGTAGTTTCGGAACTACGCAAGCAAGTTGAGTCCCACCGGACGCGCGGTCGGGGATGCCAGCAGCTATCGTCTCGAGTGAATCTCGACTTGAATCTTCGGGAATTAGATGAACAGATTCGGCAGCTTGAGGAAAATCCGGATCGGATCTCTAGAGAGGATAATAAGAATGACCAACATGTGGTGAGTGTACGGCTATACTGCGTCCCAACTAGCTCCCCGCTTTCCCGAATTACGCAACAAGATTGAACTGTCTCGCGAAATTCCCTCGAAATTCACGCAACGGTAATCGTCACGATGAGTCTCACCTTCTCGATGGTCTTGGTGAGAAATCTCATCATCTTCGCCCTATGATCCCGTTTGTTGGTTTACCTTATATACTAAACTCGCTGAAATACCATATACACAGTAGTGTGTCACCCTCACTGGTGGAAAACATATTTCGCAA